AAAGGTTACCGGTTCTCGCCTGGAAATTTAAATTTAACTCCTAAAGGAGATTAATGTGGGCGTTGCTTGAGCTTCATTAGACCCCTAAAAGATACCACTTAAAACAGAATATGTTCGATTGCTAGCCACTGTTCAAGAAAGGATCCCGCGCGGACTTGTAGACCCGATTCATGTAATCCAGAGACCAGCCGAAATCCAGCCTAAAAACAGAAATTAAATGAGAGCGTTTCTTTCATTATTATTTCTTCGAGTTCATCCTAAAGGATACTTTGACAGCTAAAAATGGTGACTTTTCGTCATCAACACCCTAAGTGAGACCAGAATCCTTGATTTGTACCCGAGACGACGAGCATCCCCGACCTTTTCATATAGGAGGCCCCCCCGGGTTTCGAACACCCGCCGTCTAAGGCCGTTTTACAGTCGCTGGCACCGTGTCAAGTTAGTTATTTTCGAGAGGTAGAAGGTGAAACGATTTCTTCATTGTAAGGAAAAAACTTATGGCTCTTCCTTAGCTTAGCGATTCGATTTAGAAAAAGTTTCTGTGGTNGTGTCAAGTTAGTTATTTTCGAGAGGTAGAAGGTGAAACGATTTCTTCATTGTAAGGAAAAAACTTATGGCTCTTCCTTAGCTTAGCGATTCGATTTAGAAAAAGTTTCTGTGGTTTTCCTTCACAAACCTACGTGATATTGTGAGTTCGAAAGCAATCGATATAAACGAAAGATTAAAAGCCCCAGACGATTCATTAAGCGTAAGAAACGGAAAGACAAACGCTACCTTTCGGTAAGTGATTTTTAGACAGAAAAAGAAAAAGCACTGAAGAAGAAAAGGAAGAAGAATCTCGAGTCACTTTTAGGATTCCAATGTTCACTTCGCCTTTGGCGAATAATTGTTAAGTACTACTTGTTCATCGGATCACTGGAGGTGAAATTATCAATTATATACCTACGTATTGAAACGCTGGGTAGTTAGCACAGCAGGCTCAAGTGAGCCGAGTTTCGTGGCGTT